GGAGAGCGCTGCAGCGCCAGGGTGGGCTCTGACCCTGCGTCTCTCTCTCCTGCATGGCTTGGGCTGTAGGGCAACTTCAGCTGTTGAGTGACTTGCCGCCCCCCCACCACCACTCCCCCGGGTCTGATCTAACTCCTCATCCCCCACACACCTGTGATGAATGTGCATCCTTGACCCACCTGGTTAAGCAGGAATCTTGCTAGATCAGTTTGGCAAGAAGATGTCTCTTCCTAGTGATTTTCCATCACCGACCCCTCGCCCGGCTCTTGGCCACCTAACCGGCTGTGTCAGCTGCATTGGGAGATGACCCTATGTCTCTCCCCTATTGCAACAGCCGTGTATAAAGTAAAGTCTTTCTTACGTGTTAACAAGTGTCAGAATCCGTTTCTCTTTAACAGAACACTGTGCAACAAAGAAATGGGGAACTTTAAGAGGGAAAATCGGATTGGCAAAAGTTCTCTGCTTGACCAGACTCTGCTCAGGCTCCTGGAACTTTCCAAACAGACCCTGGGCTTCCATGTTCGTCTCTGCGTTGTCTAAGTTTGGTAAGAATCCCACTACGTGAATTTAGTCAGAGCGCCCTACTCAGATGTTTCCTGTCACCAACCCCACCCTGCTCCTTGGGCATAACCCTAAAATGTTTTTACTGCAATAACTACTGTCCAGCCAGCCCTGGTTTTCTTTGACAAGATGCAGTGCAGGAAAGACATTCACACGTACACAAACACATACACACAGGCACACAAATACCACACATAAACGCATGCACACAAACATGTACTCACACAGAGGCAGAAACACACATGTGCGTACACACACTTTGACGATGGAATACTCACCACCTTATGCAGTGCAGATCCACAGCCTTTCCATGCACCTCACAGGATGGTCACCAGGGAGAGCCAGAGGCGATCTGAATATTGTTTCTCAACCACAGCACTATCCGTGCTTTGGTCCCTGCCATCATTCGGAGCAGGAGCAATGGCTCTGATTCCGCAGACACTGCGGCTTCACTTTGTGAAAGCTGCTGCTTCTTTCTGCGCAGAGCCCTTGGGGTCAGTCTGGTCTTCTGCTGTTGGCAGCCCGGAGGCCGCACTGCTGCCACCCACCCCAAGCCCGCTGAGCGTGGGACGGTCTGGTGGGCGCCGGCCTGGTTCAGGCTGACAGGGGTGGGGATGAGCCGGCCAAGAGCTCTGGGTTAGTGACGGTGGACGGGCCGCGGTGGGTCCCGGGATGGTCCTGTGTAATTTGGGCTAAAGCAGGTGACCCGTCTGGTTCCAACTGATAACCCCCTTCAAAGCAGGGACCCCAGTCTACAGGGTAGGAGCGTCTCGAGGGGCTGATACACACCAAGGAGAGGCTTCCCCTGGCCACGCGCTCAAGCAGGGCCCCCGGGAAGCCTGCGTTTGAGTCCCGGAGACCGTCGGGGACGGTGGCCGCGGGGAACTCAGGGACTGGAGCTTTGTGGCGTCAGCAGGAGCCGGAATGTCGCAGGGGGCTGGGGGAGGGGTGTTCCTTATCAGGGTGGGGGTGGTGGCTGAAAGGATTTGTGGGGAGAGAGCAACAGCCTGGGGATGCCCCCACTTGAAGAGCAGTGGTGAAAGGTGGAAGTGTCCGGGCAAGGAGGGAGGACAGGGACTGGAACCTTGTCCCGGGAGGGCACTAGGGGAGTTGCGGGGCAGGGGGCGTGGAGGATGGGGGAAGCTTTGGGAGCAGGGGGAAGGGGGTTGTGGGCAGCTGGGGAGGACCGGGCGTTGAGAGGGAGATGAGGGCAAAACAGGCAGCAGGGACTGGCGCCTGGTTGGGGTAAGTAATCGGGTTGCGGGCCCCTGGAGACCCCAGCAGCGCCGGGTGAGGGGAGGGGGCGGGGTTCGGGCCTGGGCTAGGAGGGGCACCCGCAGGGTGGGCGCCTGGGTGTCTTGTCAGCGCCCAGAGGTGGCTTTGGTGGGTCTCTGCCCCCCAGCCCTGACCTATCCCTGGCCAGCGGCTGCGCGCACCCCGTGTCCTAGCCCCTGGAGGGTGGACAGAACAGGTAACGGAGGCTCGGGCCACTGCAGGTGGGCGGGGAAGCAGAAGGGCGCCATTTCCAGGGGCGCAGGTGTAGACTTGGCTTTCTCCCACGCGCCGCTGTGTGTATTTCTTGAGCGATGCCTCCTTATTAGAACATTAGGACAGAGTCCAGGAACTCAGCCCTGAGTGTGCTTGGGCAGTGCACGGGGGCAGACGACCTGCTGAAAGAGGGAACACAGGTTGCTAATTTTAATTCCCCCAAGTTTCTGCATGTGAAAGGATTCTGGGCTGAGAGTTTCTTTCAATCTAGAAAATAGAATCACAGAATTTTAAAAACTTTAAAATAAAAGTCAAGAAAACACAAGAGAACAATAGGCCCCATATATAAATTGCCCAGATCAGCATTAACTGTATTTACTTCATTTGTCCTGTTGTTTGTTTTGGCTGAAGAGGTTGTTTTTGTTGTTGTTGTTGTTTTCAAAAAAACACAAATCCCAGACATCACTAGATTCATCTCTACGTGCTTCAGCCAGGGAAGACAAACTTCTCCTTTACCCTCTTAGATTCAGTGGCTGGAGCCTGCTAATTAAACTGACAAAAGCCCAATCAACAGGAGAAAACTGTATTTAGTTTTTATGTATTTGACAGTCAACAAAGGAAGTAGTTGACTTGTTAAATAGTTAAAGGCTTGTATACAAAACTTAGTAGGGAAAAGGGAGGGACATAAGGGTTTTTAGAAGAACAGAGAGTGCCGGGAGCCGGCTGTGCCTCAGTGTCTGACATGGCCAAACACACTGCAATTGTGACAAATTCTGAAGCTCTGACTGAGAAACAGATACTGCTTTATATCTTAGAAAATTTAAATTCCCCTTCTGATAGATATATCACAATAATTATATTTTATATACTAAAGGCAATTTTAGTCACACTACTAGTCTTTTAGTAAAGGTCAAAGTACACACCCTGTAAATCTTAAGATCCTGCTTAGACAATAGTTTTTAGAATAAATGTTGGGTGGTCATGGTAACCATCCTTTGGGCGATTATGTAGAGGCTCAGGCCTTGGTTGCGTAGTCATTGTAGGTGGAGGGATTTGGGCTTGGGCGTAGTTGGGATAAGTTAGTGTTTAGCACAGAAAAGGTATAGCTGTACCCTGGAGCATAAGAATTATGAGGAAGTAAAACCCTGATACTAATGGAACAATGGTTAAACTGCCCCAGTATAAAAAGGGGCATGCTGTAAAATAAAGTGAGACACTTCTCTTCTTGAAAAAGTGCTCCTGTGTCTCCGTGCGTTTTTTCCTTTTTCTTCGCAGACTCTGCCTCCACCTGAGGGAACCCCTGGGCCTGCGGGAGACTCCCGCAAGAGAGGAGATAAGAGTGTGTAATAATGCTTGTCTATACAGCTATGAGTGGTCATTCTACCTTCTTCAGGGCCATAAAATTGCCCCAGAAAGGGGATTTATGGCAGCCTCATTTCCCAGAAGTTGCTGCTTTTGCTCAGATAAGGGAAGCTCTGAGGAGGCTTTTTTCTATATCTGTCAAATCTCCAATGTCTTCATCTTAAAATGTTTATTGCACTTCTCGGGGTTGGAATGGACTCCACACTTCTACTCATCTCTAAAACTATTGGTGTTTCTTACATAACCACAAGTCTTTGCCTGTCTCACACAGTTGACAATAATTCCTTGTTTCATCTGACCTCTCGTTCCTATTCAAATTTCACCTATTATCTCAAAAGTTTTTGTTTTATTTTATTTTATTTTTTAGATTTTTTTTTTATTGGAGAATTGGGGAAGGGGAACAGACAAGTTGCTTTCCTTTTTAGTTCTTCAGTCTAGTTGTAGAGGAAGTTGCTTCCCTGGCCCATGTTGATATTATCATTGCGCTTTTCCCAGGTGAGGCAGATCAGTCACCGGCCATTGGACGGCCACTCACAGCGGCTCTTGGCAGCTCATTCTGGCTGTTCACGGTAGCTTACAGGAGCCCATCGCAGCCCCACTGCAGCCCACGCCGTTGCCGGCGACTCAAGGCAGCCCAGCTCCAGGTTGAGCTGTTGTTCAGCATCTTAGCTGTAGAGGGCAGTGTCACTGGTCCTCATATGTGGGATCCGAACCGGGGCCCTCTGGTGTCCCAAGCCAGTTCTTAACCATCGCGCCACTCGGCCGGCCCTAAGAACTAAGTTTTGCTAATAGTTATGTAAACTTCTGTATGTTAGGACTGCTGGAGTTCATATTCTCTCCTGGGTGTTAACAGGCAGGCCAGATTTTAGACAGGCCAAGTCCAGAGCCACCTCAGGGTCACCCCACCAGCCCCAGAAGAGAAAAGTAGTCATGATACAGACACAATGTTTGTTACAGGATGTTCTAATACAATTTTAGGCTTCTTTCCAGTACAGATATTGATTAACAAGATTAAGTCAGCCACTCCTATTATAATACCTATTGATAATACTTTGCCTCTACCTAATATTTGCCAATATCCTTTGAGGCCTGATACACCAGCTTAAATTAGTTCATTGTACAAGACTGCCTTTTAAAAAAGGGGGTAGGGGGGGCCGGCCGAGTGGCGCGATGGTTAAGAACTCGCTTGGGATGCCAGAGGGCCCCGGTTCGGATCCCACATATGAGGGCCAGTGACACTGCCCTCCACAGCTAAGATGCTGAACAACAGCTCAACCTGGAGCTGGGCTGCCGTGAGTCGCTGGCGACGGCGTAGGCTGCAGTTCCTGTGGCAGTGGGTTGCCATGGGCTACCGTGTGTTGCCAGCAGCCAGCGTGAGCGGCCAGCAGCCGCAGTGAGCGGCCGTCCAGAAGCCGGCGACTGATCTGCCTCGCCAGGGAAGAGCACAATGATGGTGCCAACTTGGGCCAGTGAAGCAGCGTCCTCCACAACTAGATTGAAGAACAAAATGACAGCAACTTGTCTGTTCCCCTTCCCCCAATTCCCCATCACTGTTCCCATCCCCCCAATTACCCAATAAAAATCTTTAAAAAAAATAAATAATAAAATAAAATAAAAAAGGGGGTAGGGGGAAGCTTATAATTCCATGTATGAGCACTTGTAATTCTCCTATCCTTCCAGTAAAGAAACCCAATGGGAAAGGATGGAGATTTGCACAAAATTTCAGCTATAGATAGATATCCTGTGGTTCCAAATCCACATACCCTATTATCAGCTAGTCCTGTGTGTATTGCCAATATTTTTTTAGTGATACATTTATGTAGTGCTTATTTCAGCATTCCTGTAAAAAAGACAGGAATTTTCTTTTCCTCTTTGCTTTTCCACCTGGGAAGATCAGCATTCACTTGGACAGAAATGCCCCAGGGGAATACAGAGTCCCACCTATTTCTCTCAGATACTAAAGGCTGATTTGAATAATGTTGAATTCCCCCAAAATTCTATTCTAATCCGATACGTGGATGATTTATTTTTATGCTATATACAATAACTTTCATGGTAAACATAAATTTAAGTTTCCTGTTTGCTTGAATAAGATCAGCCCAACAAGCTGAATTAATGGATCTAACAGGAGCTTGTAAATGAGCCAAAGATCAAATAGCCAATATTTACACTGACAGTCGCTATACCTTTGGTGTAGCTCACAACTTGTAGAAGCAGTGAGGGTTCTTAACTTCCTCAGGGCAGCCCATAAAAATGGAAAATAGGTTACAGAATTTAAATTAGACGTCATCCAGCAACCAAAACAATTGGCAATTATCAAAATTCCAGGACATTATAAGGCTGTCATAAAAAGAAAAATAATTATAATTTAGCTGATACTGCAGCTAGACCAACAGTAATATACAGCCAAATTATCCAGAATTAAGAATATTTCTTCTCCCTATTAAATCAATAAAAGACTTTTACTAATGTTCTAATGGGCAGCTGCAGAAGAAAAGAAAATATGGCAACAA